CAGTCCATGTATGACAATCAAGTTTGGAACTTGGTTGACAATGTACCAGGCCGTAAAACAGTCGGGTGCAAATGGATCTTCAAGAAGAAGACAGACATGGAAGGAAAAGTGCATACTTATAAGGCTCGACTGGTTGCGAAGGGTTTTACTCAAACTCAAGGTATTGATTATGATGAAACCTTCTCGCCGGTAGCAAAGATTAAGTCTATTAGGGTTATGTTAGCCATTGCAGCATTTCATGATTATGAAATATGGCAAATGGATGTCAAAACCGCTTTCCTTAATGGAAAGTTGGCTGAGGATGTGTACATGAATCAGCCAGAGGGTTTTGTCAGTGCAGAGTACCCTAATAGAGTATGCAAGCTTGAGAAATCCATTTATGGATTAAAACAAGCATCTCGTAGCTGGAATCTTTGTTTTGATGAGAAGGTAAAAGAGTTTGGCTTCTCGAGAAGCGAAGATGAGTCTTGCGTGTATGTCAGAGCTAGTGGGAGTATAGTTAGCTTCTTGGTACTGTATGTGGATGACATACTACTCATAGGAAATGACATCCCAACCTTGCAGGAGGTTAAGTCCTGGCTTGGGAAGTGCTTTGCTATGAAGGACCTAGGGGAGGCTACCTATATCCTAGGGATAAGGATATTAAGAGAAAGGAGTAGAAGACTAATTGGACTTAGTCAGAGTATCTACTTGGATAAGGTGTTGAAAAGGTTCAACATGGAGAATTCCAAGAAAGGAGATTTACCGATCCAAAGCAATACCAAACTGAGTAAGACTCAGAGTCCGAGTACAGAGGCAGAGATAGCTGAGATGAGCCAATTACCATATGCTTCCGCAGTTGGCTCGATCATGTATGCTATGACTTGTACCCGTCCTGATGTGGCATTTGCTTTGAGCATGGTCAGCAGGTATCAGGGGAACCCTGGCAAGGCTCATTGGACCGCGGTAAAGAACATTCTCAAGTACCTGCGGAGGACTAAGGATTGGATCCTTACCCTTGGTGGCAGTGATGACTTGAAAGTATTAGGGTATAGTGATGCTGGTTTTCAGACTGATAGGGATAATTTCCGCTCTCAGTCGGGCTGGATCTTTACCTTAAATGGAGGGGCAATTTCTTGGAAGAGTTCCAAGCAGGAGACGGTGGCTGATTCGACTTGTGAATCAGAGTATATAGCAGCGAGTGAAGCAGCGAAGGAGGCGATATGGCTAAAGAACTTCATCGGAGACCTTGGAGTTGTACCAGCTATTAAGGAACCTATAGAGATTTTCTGTGACAACAATGTGCGGTTACTTAGCCAAGGAACCAAGAGATCATGGCAGATCCCGACACATTGACAGAAAATATCACTTCATAAGACACAAGATTGAAGAAGGACTCCTTGTGACAAGGAGGATATCGTCGGATGAGAATCCTGCAGATCCCCTTACGAAGGGACTGACGAGGGTTAAGCATTTTCAGCATGCGAGACGCATCGGGCTGAGGGACGATATTAGTTTTACAGATTAGATAGTTTTCCTGAAACTTGTAAAATGTAATCGACGTTTGATGATGAATAAAATTTGTGATTTATTTATGAGTAAAGTGTTACTATCATTGTCAATTATTTACTATTGTTTCAGTTTTGCATGTTTTGACTTCCAGAATAATTAATTTATTCAAACCTCCACAATCGATCATACGTCGGAAGTAGGTATGAATCAAGATTGTCATGAATTGGGTTTGTAGATGCCTTAAAGGTGTTTAGACATGGCAATGGTTGCTGCAACATTCATGAGTACTCATAAGTTATGAGTATTGGTATAAACCCACGCTCACTTGTATCACTTCATGGAATTTATCTCGAGTGATCGTGAGACGATAACATCATATAAATCTTTAAACCTAGAGATATGAGTTGTTACCTATGAGTTGGTTGTGCATTGATTGCACGTAAACGCATCAGTAACTTGATGTTATAAAACGTGCCTTTGTGTACAATTCAATAAGTAGTAGAACAAGCATATCAGTCGAAGTTTATCTGTTCCTTCTAGAAATAGAAGCGATATCTGGGCCCCTCGATGATTTTGTGTTGACCCATGTACCAGGCCTGGTCAGAACTAAACCGATGTGTTCAGTGAAGTTCTTCGTCAAACAAATCGGAAAATCGAGAAACAACTGCTAGACAATAAGCAAGACATAGTTCCATGTGTTTGTCCGGCTGATATCATGAGAACAGAGGATTATGTGATCACTTATCTAAAATGGCGCTTCATAGTTCGACAGAGTCTTCATTGTTCGAGGGAGTTTTCGAGAGCTACGATTGCTGGTTGGTTCCTGAAGTTATAGGCAAATATAGTTATTAGACTTATCCAAGTGGGAGTCTGTTGGATAAGGTGTCTAAGTCCATAACTTATTTGGTATATACTTGACCCGACCGGCATGGTCCATTTGGGTTGCATCTCATCCAAACTATTATGGATAATTTTATGAGAGTTATACACATATGTTTATTAATATATTATGAGTTATAATATATTAATATGAAGTTACGTTATTTAATTAGTTTTAGTCTTAAATTAATTATGAATTAATTTAGAGATTAAAAGGAAGACTAATTAGATTATGGGCTATTTGTTTTATATAGTGTGGGCTAATACTCATTTGTTAATGGGCTAGGCTTATGTGGAAGTCCATGGATGATCCATGGAGCTTTTAACCCATGGATCCTTGGAAAGGAAAAGACATGGGTTATTAGGGTTTCACCCTAACCATGCACACTATATAAGCATGCTTATGGAGCATGAAATGGAGCCTAAGAAAAAACTAGTGAACTAGTGTGTGTGTGCATGTGTGTGGCCGATTTTATACAATGGTGTATACTCTCTTAAAGTTTTCCAAGAGTTTGTGGTGTTTGTGATTCCATTTGAGGCATTCACACTATTGGTGCTTGGCCCTCAAACTCCTTAGAACCAAACTCACCAAAAGGTATGTAATCTCTTCTAACTCTTTTATGTTGAAATGTTCCCCATGCCATGTTAGATAGGTTATAAACCTTGGAAAATTATTATTTTGCATGTATTTAGACAAACATAGATCCAAGGTTTATTAGGGTTGCATGCACACTTAGGAAGTGTTAGATTGCTCAAAACCCAACAGTTATGTGAACCGTTAAGCGGGTCATGGCACTTCCTGTCATGACTGTTTTTGTATCCTGAATCTCCTTAATTGGGGAGCGTTTGAGTTTGTGTATAGATCTATACTGGATTGACTATCCTACACCTTGCTTCTCGCTACAGTGGGACTTGAAAGTCTATGGGTGCCAAATGTCATTTCTTACGGCATCTTACATCGTCGTTTTACTAGAGACGGTAGCAGGATACAGGTGGATCACATGTTACTTGGAACACCTTTTGTTTTAAGGTAGTTAGTACCATGGTAGTTACTTATTACAAATACTACGGTACGATAATATTTTCCCATTACATTCACTTCGTGAATATTCACATGATGCACGGTAATGTAGAAACTATATTTTTAGTTAATGATAGTCAGAATTGGGAAAACACACACTCTAACAAGAGACATACACACAGACACGAGATGCCTTGGTAGAAGGCTACAGTTAATAGAAAACATAGGGTTTTCTAGGAGAGTTCAAACATTTTAGAAAACATTATACAAAACATTGTACAAAACATCTTACAGAAACATCTTACAAACGTTTTCATACAAACTCAAACATTAATATACTTATGATCTCACCAGCATTAAGTTGACACTCGCTTTTAAAATAACTTGTATTCTCAGGTCACCACTAGACAGGTACAGGTGCCAGGCTTTATAGAAGATGGAGTTCGTTCAAGACTCATCTTTTATTTTGATATGTATATTTTTGGTGTCTATAACTTTGACAGAACACACATGTATGAAATTATATATTATTAATGCAATGGATTATGTTGCTGCTTGTTTACTACTATTCATTGTTGTGATACTGTACATGACATCCTCTGCCCCAAAAAGTTTCCGCCATTCATGGTTTTGGGGTGTGACAGATTGGTATCAGAGCATTGTTTATAGTGAATTGAGTGTATCAACCCATAAAAGGTATACGAACTATAAACACAAGTGGGATTAAATTACTCTGACAAAGAGTTTATACTTTTAAATAATAAAATATTTAGCCAAGTATACATACATGCATTCATACTAAATTCAGTGTCACTAGCACATAACAAAATATTATGATTTTTAGACATCACAAGTAAACTTAGAGACATATGGTCAACCCTGGGAAGATGTAGCCTGATCAACTACATTATCCGAGGAGTGACTAGCACTACAAGAAAAATAGCCTTTTACGACGCGCAAACCACGACACTCATTGATTTATGTTACGCAATGGAGAGTGTCGTTAAAAAAGTGTCATCTCTTCAAAAAATTTAAGGATTTAGGTCACGCATTATTGCGTGCCCTTAAATTAGCGTTATACGAGAAAAAATTAAAAACACGGAGGGCGCTGTATCTTAAATGGGCGTCCTCTATGAGTGTCACTTTATAATTTTAATGAAAAGCGCGTTTAGTAGATAGGGGGAAAATAAAATCCCTAAAGTTTTGAACACCCGCCTTCATTTTTATCCTCCACTTTTGTTTCCTTCTTGCCCTAATTACGATCCTTTCTTCCCCCTCCATAGATTCGACTGTCGCCTTGCCTAGTTGTCAACACTCCTTCCTTCGTTCCTCACTTGCCTTCTTCGCCTGACAATATCTCAAGAAGTACAACTCCGAAAGCGTACAAGTCGGACTTATGTGTCGGAACTCCGGTAGACTGAAATTCAGGCAACATGTAGCCTCGTGTGCCCTAAAATTTCACGAATCTTGAATTTGGCTTACTTGAATCTCGTTCCAAGCTGCTATCGGTTTCGCCACAGAGTTCCGCCATTCCAAAAGCGCATATTTTCGCGTTGAGTGACTATGATTGGGTTAAAATTATGCTTGAGCCGACGATTGGGTTACAATTATGCTTGAAAGTGTGAAGAACTTACATGCTCCATCTAATCATGTCATACTTCATGTTTGTATCACAAATATTGAAGGTCTATACATTTCTTCTGACATATGGGTTTCAAAATTTGGGGTTTTTATGGGATTTGAAGTTATGGAGATGCAAGGTGCCCTCAAGGTGCTCGATGAAATGCCAGACTATGTAAGTATATTTTTTTCATATTTGATTAGAAAAAGCGATAACAAAAATACTTCCTCATCAACTCATCTTATAGGTTGTGCTTCTTTGTTTAAAACACGATTACAAATTGGGGAATCCTCCTCCTATCGCATCCTCTTCTAATTTCTTTCTACCCTACGGTTTTTGTTCAATTAGGTTAAATTTTGGGCTCTATATCATCAAAGAAATGGACAACTTTTATTCTACTTCATTGTGTTATGTTTCACTGTGTCTTTAAATTCTCCTTTGTTTTTGGAGATCTTCCTGTCATCACATTCAAAATGGGTATTTAGTTTTATTTTCTTGGTATATATTCCATTATAATTTTAACCTATTGTATTTGTTGTTTTTCTCTTGTTTCCAGGTACTAGGTCTTCTTCAGGTTAATGGGCAGGGGAATTAAGGAAACACTAAGCAGGTACTTTAAGTTTTGAGGAACACGAAGGAGCTAAAGATGGATTCATGGGTGAAAACCAAGCATTAAACACTCCAACTAATTATGGGGAAGATTTCTTTAACAATCTTCCAAGTCCTAAATGTGACACACCTGTCTCAACTCCTGGAAGGGTACTTGCGGAAACATTGTAACTAGAGTTCATGCATTGGTATGCAGGAATGATGATGGGCATGAGATGGGTATAGACTCTGAAAAAACAGGAAACTAGCATACTAGGTATTGCATTGGGATAAAGCTGGCATACCTGAGCAACTAAAAGAGCCTAATTCACTCCACCAAGAAATCCAGTAACCTAATCAACAAACAAAAATCTCACTACCATCCTTAAGTATTATATCATTATACAATACATGACTAAAAATTACACTTTTCGTCCCTGTGTTGTATTGATTTTCACTATTCCATAACATGCCTTTTATAGAAAGCCATTTAGTCCCATCACATACCTTGTACCCATTTGCTTCCACTTTAATCATCATCATTACAAAGATATTTTTCAGAAATCATCACCAATTGTCAAATATATGGTTTTCAAGAGTCATCCAGAGAAATGAAACAGTGAATTATGAACTTAAAGCCTTTTACAATGGTGTCTGTCTCGTAGACTAAAAGTGTAATAAAAAAATGAATTATGGAAGAAAAAGGCAAAAAGGGCAAAAATATTCTTTTTTGGATCATAAAAAGGACCACTTTTTCGTCCCTAATTCGATGTTTCATAAAAAATTTAGTCACTGGGACATATGCCATTTATAAATGGGTGTTAAGCCCGATAATATACCTTGCAGAAGAAGGCATGTAGGTCATTTCATTTATCTCTGCAATGGGAAAATATAATCACAAATTACTTAAAACAAATTTGTCATGTAGTTTGGTTATGCAAAAGTAGATCGACGAGGTCTTATTATGCTGACATTTCGGCCTGCTATTGGTGAGCGCAAATGTGATTCAGAAAAAGAAACAGGTAATGGAACATTTGTAATTATAATTTACTTTCAATTTCCTGAGTTATTAAAATTGGAATGGAATGAAACATTACTATGGAATAGAATAATCCTCTTTAGCGATCTAACTGGTTTTTTGATGTGTGGTTGTTTGCCTTGTCAGTGACAGAAGTTGGATCATTCATAAGTTTAGGTCCAGGAGATTCTTGTGAATTCTTCCATGATCCATTAATACAATTGAGGTATAATAATAACCATTTGTTATTTATGGTAAATATATTGAAAAATCACTCTTTACTTACCATGTTGAAATATTAATTGATTACGGTCTATATTGATTATGTCTATATTATAGGGATGCAAGTCATTTCTCTAAGTAGGTTATTTTTGTATACAATGAGAATGAACATAGTTTTCATGTCCATGGCGGAACCAGAAAATTTTCCTAGGGGTAGCACAAAAAAAGTCTCGATAAAGGATAGTAATATATATATATATATATATATATATATATATATATATATATATATATATATATATATATATATATATATATATATATATATATATATATATATTATGACTTCATTAGATATATCAAAATAATGTACAAATTTACATTTTAAAGTTGACATCTTCGTTAACATAATTATAAAGTACAATTTCATTAGATATAAGCTTTAGTGTTGAATTAATTTGTTGTTTATGTTAGGTTAGTACACACGCCATCTTTATTTATATTAGTGGTCCATTTCTTCTAATCAATGGGCTTCTAAATGATAAAATGGCTTTTTTAATTTAACCTTCATAGGAGCACACTTGATTTCACATGTTCATACTTGAAATATATATCTAATAAAATTCAATTTTTCACTACAGGTGGGGAGTAAATGAGGGGTAGTACCAACAAAGTGGCCGAACTATTCATGTCTCTTATTAGTATGTAAATTTGATGTTATTTATGTATAAAAAAGGTTATTGAATTTATATTGGAGTTTTATTTGCGTGCAGTTGTAGCAAAAAATATCTTGAAAACAAACGAACGATTAACAGTTCCTGTAAGTAGAACAAAGTTTGCAATTGGGTAGTGCAGCTTTCAGTGTATGTGTTGGCGACTCTGTTGCTGCTGAGGTTAGAAGATCTGTAACAGCTGGAATTTCAGGTATTGTTTTAAAACTATTTTTGGGGCATTTTAGGAGGGGACTTGGCGAGTTGGTGCCTGACTCGCCGAGTAGGACCACAGACTTGGTCGCAGATTCGCGACTGGACTCGACGAGTCCATTAGGGACTCCGCGAGTCGACGCTGTTCAGCAGAAACCCTAGCCGTTTGGTTTTGGATCGTTTATAACGCCTCTTAGGCCGTCATTGTTCGTTTTTTCTTACTGAGAAGAACCCTAGAACGATTGTGTGCATCTGGAACAAGGATTGAAGACCATTTTTGGGTTTGGAAGAGTTGTGTGCAAGGAAGAGGAAGGTTTAGCTAAAGGAACAGCAAGAGAATCACGTTCTGAGGATTGGGGACACAGAAAGTGCATCAATCAGGTAATATCTCGGATTTCGTTCTTCTCTGATTGATGTGTATATGAAGTTAGGGTTTATAGAGCCCATTTGATGATTAGAGGGATTATTATGTTGTTACCCAAGTGTTTATACCCCAGTAATAGGATGTTTAGAGGTCCAGATAGTCCCATGAGTGTGTATTTCGGGACCATACGTGTTTCAGGAAGCAGTTGATCGACTGCATGGCATGGACTCGCCGAGTCGGATGAGCAGACTCGGCGAGTAGCTTGAAGATTCACTGGGACTCGCCGAGTTGTTCTTCAGACTCGGCGAGTGGAGTCGGGGTGGCCCCGCGATTCTTCCACGAGGACCTCGTCGAGTCAAGAGGGATACTCGACGAGTAGAAGGGGAACAACAGGGAAATTTGGGGAGGACGTCTAGACTCGCCGAGTCGCCTTTGCACCCGACGAATCCGGTCAAGTTGACCGTTGACCAGAGTTGACCTGCATGTAAATTCTTAAGGTCAGTTGTCTTGAATGATAAGAGTATTAATAAGGGTATATGGTATTATAAGGAGTCTGCAGATCGGCGGATCGAGTGCGAGTAGTTTCAAGAGTTGATAGCTTACATTACCACGAGGTGAGTCTTCTCACTATACTGTACCCGGAAGGGTTTGAATGTGTGACCGGAAGGTCGTATATGTTATGTGTTATATATATGCTATAATTGAAAGGAATAGTTGCTATGCATGCTATGTATGTTTCTATGGGCCGGAAGGCAATGTATTATATGACAGGAAGGTCAGGTATGATATATGATATATGTGATATATGTGTTATATATGTTTATGGGCCGGAAGGCAATCATGTTATGGGCCGGAAGGCAATTATCTTATGGGCCGGAAGGCAATTATCTTATGGGCCAGAAGGCGATTATCATATGGGCCGGAAGGCATTGTACTGTGGACCGGAAGGTCCGGGCCTGGAAAGGCGTATATGTGTAAGTGGTATACTGGGGAACTCACTAAGCATTTATGCTTACAAGTTGTTATGTATGTGTTGCAGGTACTAGCGAGGACCGTGGGAAGGCGCCGGCATGATGCATACACACTGCTGCTATTTGAGATCTTGGGGATTTTACATATGTATTTGTTTTGAAACATGAAATAAATATTATTGGTTGAATGAACTCACTTTATTTAAAATGAAAAATTTATTTGAAAATTTGCGTTGTTACAAGATCACTCATCCGTAACATGTGGAATGAAGGTATTAAAGGCACAAAAAGAAATGTTGAGGTTTGGCAAGCTCTTTTGGTAGTTAGGTCACTTGTATTTCCTCCTACAGACGAGGATAGTGAAACCTGGTTGAAATTTGCTTCACTTTGCCGAAAAAGCGGTAGGATTAGTCAAGCCAAATCCACTTTAATTAAACTCTTACAGGTTAGTTGGTATTTAATTTTATTTATTTATTTAATCTAAATCAGCTTAGGAAGGTTTAATCATTTTCACTTAAGCTAATTGTATTAATTATAATTTATAAGTAATAATCAGCTTATTCTTTTTACTTCTTTTATAGGATCTAGCAATAGAGCTTTCAAGTTCTTCTGGTCTTCAAGTATCTACACCAACTGGCTTTGGAGGTGTTCCACATGTATCTCTTATGGCACGTGTATATCTGAAACTTGCTGGAGAATGAGGCTTGAGGTTCCACGTGCTGAAATTGCTGAGATACTTCCACTTGCTAGGCTTGACTTTCTTCCTAATATATTTTTTAGTTTGAACCTATGGTGGCAAGATGGTGCAATTGATTGGATTCCACTTTATTAACTTACCATTTTCTTTTTGTTATTGATTGTCATTGCTCATAAAATTGATCCATCAAACTTCTTCCTTAATGGTGTATAGTTAAAAAAACACAAACATTGACCCCTTAAAACATCATGTTTATGCTTCGTGTGCTCCCAAAATAGTTGTTGATTAATTATTTACTAATCAAATTAGACACCTTTAAGCATTTAAGAAAGTGAAACTTGTTTACTTATTTCAATTTATTCTTAAAATCCTCTTTTCAGGGCATGAGTCCATCAGCTGTAGCTGAAGGTCAAGAAAAAATGAAGAAAATATTCAAGGAGTAAGTAGTTATCCATGTTCCTTATTGTGTGATCTGTATAAGTTGTTCATGACATCATATTAGTTGTTACTTACATGGTTAGACAATGCTTATAATAATAAATTTAACATTTTTGCAGGCATGGTGTTAGTTTTTTTTGCAAGCAAATGCAATATGTCCTTCGGATCCACTTTTCATGAACAAATTCATTGGGCACACAAAAGATGTCATGGGTTTGATCAACTGGTACTGGCTCTTTAGTCTTTCTTTTTATATCTTTTTATGAAATCAGCTTATGATATGAGCTCTGTTTTTCACATGGTCTAGGACCACTAATTGCTTAGGATGGTAACTGGGTTGTCTTTTCGCGCCCTCCTTTGATACACCATAAAGGCATGAAGATTCTCTCTCTCTCTCTCTCTCTCTCTCTCCAAATTCTAAAACAAACAACAACAGGTAAATAGATGCCAACATTTTGCTTAAAATTCTGTGAACATTGAAAAAAATGAGGTCGATAGTGCCTTTTTCATGAGATTGTCAAAAGTTGAATAAAATAAAAAAATAAACAAGGGTAATATTGTAATAGGGAGGGTCTTAATACATAAAGTGACCAACCTCTCACTTAGCACGACAAGTCATTTTGATTTTATTAAGTAAAAAAGAAACAACCTTATCAATCTACATGCATTTAGTCATGTACTGCTGTCCCACAATTTGTCATCATAGAAGAAGACCCTACTGTCCCACAAGGGTAATATTTTAATAGGGATGCTTTATATGTCATCATAGAAGACCCTGTTGTCCCATAATTTGTAACAATTTGTATTATCATTATTTGATTTTAATAATAATTTGTTTTGTTTTATTGTTGAGGTTATAGATTGATAGTCTTACTTTTCATGTCATTATTATTTATTTCTTTTTTTTGTTTGCAGTTTCTTGCTGAAACTTTGGATGTTGTTCAAGACATTGATTGGGTCATTTCTCTTGGAAATGCTTTTGCAAAGCAGTATGAGCTTTATACATATGATGATGAGCATTATGCACTACTTCACAGGTATGAACTCATTATCATTATCATTACATTTTTTTAATTAAATTATCTTATTGAGAGTATTCTTCTCCTACAAATGTCTTGGTATACTTCTTCAGAAAGTTGATAACATGACTTATGTTCGTGATAAAATCGTTTGGATGTACAAACAAGCAAATAATCTAGATTTCAAGTATTCCAGCACCTTGATAATTATTACATTGCTATGTTTCACATTTAACCCTGTTTTCTAATATTGTTTTGGTTGAACATGTTATTCCTCAAATTTTAACAGATTCTTGAATTGTGACTCACCCCTACAGCTTTCTGAATGCAAGCTTATTTTGGTGTTGGATTAAGTGGAGTTCTGGCTTGGTGTGTGCGAGTAGGAAGGAACCAACCCAATGCCCCCGGAGTTCTGGCACCTTCCATCTTTACTTCCTATGTATCCAGGTTAATCTACTCGTATTTATTCATGTCTCAAAGTGTGTATTCCAATATCAGGTATCATGATTAGTGTATTTATAAAATTTTGAAATAGGGTCTTGTTCAATGCTTTAGCTGTGTTTGCTCTAAGGGAGATCAACTTATCAAAAGTAAGTTACTATTTCACCCTTTTATTTAATATTTTTGTGATTGAATGAAAGTCTTAATGAAAGTAATTGACAACCCTTTCTCTGTAAATGATGTTGTGATTGTGGGAGAGGTGTTGTGTTTTTCTTTGTTGCTAGGTAACCTTCTCAACAACAACATTCTACTTAAGAATGTGAGTAATCAAGATTAAGGGAGACTGGTAATCATGTTTGATATTCCTTTCCAGTAAGAAACAGAGTTGTATGATTATTTGTTAGTTTTATAGGAATGTATAACCCATGTTAGCAATGTATTATTTTTGTTTAACATATGAATGATTCTTTGTATGAAATTACAATTTGTGCAATTTATTTTATTTTTTGAGTATGAAATTTTATTTTATATTATGCAATGGATTGTATTTTTTGTATATGGTATTTTATTTCTATTATGAGAAATTAAATGCTAATTTAATTTAAAAATTAATAAATATATAAATTTATTTTTTTTAAACATTTAAATTTACGATATGCAAAAATGTGTGTCATCTTCATTTATGACATGGCCTTTCTTGACAGGGGCTTTCTTGATACGCATTGCGTGTCATTAACACGCGCGTCGTAAGGTTACGACACGCGAATGCGTGTCATCTTCCTTTATGACAGGGCCTTCCTTGATACGCATTGCGTGTCGTAAACGCGCATCGTAAATGAGCGTCGTAAATGCGCGTCGTCTCTCTTTATGACAGGGCCTTCCTTGACACGCATTTACGCGTCGTCTGAGCCTTTTACAATGCGCAATGAGCGTCGTAAAAGGCTGTTTTTCTATTAGTGTAGCATGTGCCTAAGGATGGTTGTGAGGTTGCAACAAGTCTAAAAACTTACCAACACTACCACAATAAGAAGAGTAGAACATAACATTAAACTTGAAATTCTATAGGAGTATTTTGTGTTACTATAATTACTTATCTGAGAACTAAAGGTCTTTATTGGTATGCTCTAGACAAGTATTGGAGTAACTGATAAAGATCACCTTATAATTATCTAGTTAGCTCGTCTATTAATTTATTTCCTTAATCCCTTTTCTCGCATATATATCATGGTTGGATTCCATCATCATGACGACCAGTACTTTCCACCCAACGGCAATGCTGGAAGGCTTGAAGCAGAGTCCGATGATGAGCATCAAATCCCTTTGGATAATCATCAAGCAGAAGGCTTCTCGGATGGATCTGACTCTGAGCCCAAAGTCAACAACCTACCTCAAGTAGGTTAAGCTCCGAATAACAACCCCTAACCTGCATTTCAAGGACCCACACATATGTGGGAAACAAACTTGAATACATGGAGCCAGGAACAGGGTCAACCCATTCCCTACAATGGAGATAGAAGCTTCTACAACCTCACTGAGGGAGGTTCTGCTGATAGGGTCCTACCTATCATGGTTCATAGGATTTCTCGAAACATGATACTGGGTCAAGCAACTGCCAATCGAGTCTTGGAGATTGACGCCAACTCTGGCGTTAACACTGTCCGCATTCGCCAACTAGAGTCTGCTCACGAAAGGGCTCTGGTTCACAATGCAGCTCTTCCGGGGAAACTCGCTAAAACCCGAGCTGAAGTCAGAGAACTTCGAGCTCAGCAAGCAAGAGCTGATAGGTGCATGAGGGACATAGAACGTCTCCTGTCGGGATCAAGAACTCACTCTGGTAGTTCTCGTCGCTGATAGATTCTCATCAACTTCTCTCTTTTGGATATAACCTAGTTATGTAAAAATCTGGTCTAATTCCCTATCTTTGTAAATCATAGGCATGTTAGGTCTTGGTTAGGTTGTAATTCTGTCAAAATTTTCCCATTTTGGTTGATGTAAGGCCTCTTACTGTAGGTCGTTTTTCCCAAACTTGTTACATCTGTAATCCCAGTAATATTGATAGGTACCCAATCTTATGGGAATTATTATCCAAATGTGATCATCTATTATTTTTAGATCTACATTCAATCGTATTGTTGGGCTATGAGGAGTTAGTCCATGAGTCATTCTCATAAATTCTTCCATTGAATTCTTATCAATGCTTTCATCTTCATAAACTTAGAGATCAAAGATGCTGCCTCGCAGAAATCCAAGGAGAAACCCTAATAACAAAACACCACCTCCTCCACCAACTCAACCACCTACTCCTCAGTTCGACACGACATCCCTAAATGATATCGTAGTTGCGGCTGTGGCTATAGCCATGGCTCAATATCATTCATCTGGTTCCACTGGAGGAGGAACCCCTGTTCAGTCTGTTCAAGTTGAAGCTCCTGTGCGCTCGAGAGAGTGCTCCTATAAGGACTTCACGAACTTCAATCCATTGTCCTTCAAGGGGACTGGCGGAGTCATTGCCCTCTCACAATGGTTTGAGAAAACCGAATCGGTTTTCGAAATCTGCTCTTGTCCCGAGGAGAGCAAGGTGAAGTACGCTGCTTGAACCTTCGAACTAAAGCCCTAACATGGTGGAATGGCCATGTTAAGTTACTATCTCTTATAGTGGCTAATGCGATGGGCTGGGAAACTTTGAAAGACCTCATGATTGAGGAATACTGCCCAAGGGGCGAGATCCAAAAGCAGGAAGAAGAGCTTTGGATCCTGAACATGAAGGGCTCCAACGTAGTCGCCTACATCGCCAGGTTCTGTGAATTGGTGGCCCACTGTCCCAACATGATTCCTTCATAGGGAAAGAAGATCGAGAGATACATATGGGTACTGGTGCTCCCATACTAGGGAAACATTTTGGCATCACACCCCACTACATTTGATAGTGCCAAGCGATTGGCACAGCGGCTCATAGACCATGGGGTTCGTACCCCGGCCGTAACAACTACCCTGGCCATCTCAGAACCTGCAAGAACCGCTAATTCCAAGCAGAATTTTTGGGATGACAAGAAGAAGGCTAAGGCTACCAAGAAAAGGCAGGTCGTGGCGGTACATGCTGCGATAGCACCTGCCGCTGCTGCTCCGGTAAAGCAGTACGCTGGAAGCTTGCCTAAGTGCAAAAAGTGCAACTTCCATCACGTCGGCGCCTTCCGGGAGATGTAGTTTCTGAACTACAACGGGAAGGGGCACACAGCCCGTTTTTGTAAAGCTCCGGCGAAACCAATCAACCAAGCCCCCGGTGCTGGAGTGGGCCAAACTTACTATGGATGTGGCAAGGTAGGCCACTTCAAAAGAAACTGCCCGAAGGCAGGGTTTGCTGGTGGAGCGGCAAGAGTTCTGGCCATAGGCCATGAGGAAGTGGTAGCCAACCCCACAGTGGTCACTGGTACGTTTCTCCTCGATAACGCTTATGCATGCATTCTTTTTGATAGTTGAGCGGAAAGAAGTTTTGTGAACCAAAAATTTGCTCAATTACTTAAGCAAAAATCACGAGCACTTAAAGAACCGTTCACTGTAGAAATGGCTAATGGCAAGATAGAGAGCACTAATAGTATATTCGTAGGGTGTACCCTAACTTTAGATAACCATTCATTTTCTATCGATCTTATGCCGGTATCAATTAAAAGTTTCGACGTCATTATCGGCATGGATTGGTTGATTCTTCATCATGCCGATATCATGTATTACAAAAAGGCTGTTCGCCTTAATCTGCTGTCTGGCGAAACCTTAGTAGTTTATGGCGACATACCCATCACAAACCTTCGTATCATCTCGAGCATCGAAGCTCAAAAATTCTTGCGGAAGGAATGACGTGCATTCCTTGCTAATGTGGTCGATGTGAGCCAAAAAATGAAGGACATTCAGAACATTCCAATAGTACGCGACTTTCCAGACATATTTCTAGAAGAACTCCCGTGATTACCTCCGCAACGTGAAGTCAAGTTTCGAATCGACTTAGTTCCAGGGGCTACCCCAGTAGCCAAATCGCCCTATCGTCTAGCACCTGCAAAGATGCAAGAACTGTCCAGCCAACTTAACGAAGTGCTCAGCAAGGGATTTATAAGACCAAGTTTCTCACCCTGGGGAGCTCCAGTCTTGTTCGTCAAGAAAAAAGAGGGATCGTTTCGTATGTGCATCGGCTACAGGGAGCTCAACAAACTTACCATCAAAAATTGTTATCCGTTGCCTCGAATCGACGATTTATTTAATCAACTTCAAGGGGCGAACTTCTTTTCAAAAATCGAATTAAGATCCGGATATCACCAACTGCGAGTGCTTGGGGAGGATGTTCTGAAGACAGCCTTCCGAACTCGTTATGGGCACTAAGAATTCATAGTGATGTCGTTCGGATTAACAAACGCGCCCACATTATTCATGGACTTAATGAATCGGGTGTGTCGTCCTTCCTTAGATCAGTTCGTCATCGTCTTCATCAATGACATACTTAGCTACTCTCGTAGTAAGGAGGAGCATAGTCAACATCTGTGAAAAGTCATCAAAACATTACATTCAGAGAAGCTCTACGCGAAGTTCTCGAAATACGAATTTTGGATTCGACGAGTCAGATTTTTAGAGCACATGGTTAGCGAAGAGGGAATACACGTGGACCCTTCCAAAATCAAAGCCATTGAGAACTGGTCAGCACCGAAGACGCCTACATAAATTCGTCAATTTCTAGGCCTCGCTGGCTACTACCGCATATTCATTCAGAACTTCTCTCGCATAGTGAAACTTGTTACAACACTAACCCAGAAGGACGTCGTCTTTGACTGGGATGAAAAGCAAGAGAGAGCGTTCCAAACGCTCAAACGATCCTTGTGCACCGCACCAGTACTATCCCTCCCTGAAGGGATAGAAGACTCCGTAGTCTATTGCGATGCATCGCATCAAGGGCTCGGATGTGTTCTGATGTATCGAGGTAAGGTCATCGCCTATGCCTCGAGACAGCTTAAGACACATGAGGTCAACTACATAACCCACGATCTTGAACTAGGAGCGGTTTTGTTTTCTCTGAAGATCTGGAGATATTACTTATACGGTACGAAGAGCACTATCTTTACAGACCACAAAATCCTGCAACACATTTTCGACCAGAAGGAGCTCAACATGAGACAATGACGGTGGATCGAGCTACTCGGTGACTACGAATGTGAAATTCATTATCATCCGGTAAAGCCAATGTAGTAGCTGACGCCTTAAGTCGGAAAGAATATTCTGGTCGTAGAGTCAAATCATTGACTATGACTAGCCATTCACAATTTTCCACACAAATTAAGGTGGCTCAGTTCGATGCTT